GCCAGAACCACCCAGCTCAGTGGCTCCGGACTCCTTGACCCACAGAAATCATGAGGTAACGTTGATTTGAGTCACTAAGGGTTGGGCACTATTTTTATGTAACGACAGATAACTAAAGCATTGACCTATGAGGATTTCCACTCGAGTTGGGGCATCTTTAGTTTCAAAAAGCGGTTGAATTCTGGAATATAGTCAAATAGTTTTAAACCTGGACAGGACTTCAAAGAAGAGTCTGCCTCTCACTTCGCAGAAGCAGAAATGAGGATCTGCAGAGTTTGTGAGCTCACAGTCTGGGAGCTTCCATTATTCCCTGTCTCGACAAGAAATACAGGAGCCCTCCTTAACACTTCCCTCTCCTTCACCTCCTTCATACCCAACCTATTCCTTAACCCTATGGCTCTTACCTCCTCTTGCCTCAGTCTCATCTTTCCTATCTCTACCACCTCCAACCAGATCACACGACGGTTCTCTCCTGGACCAGCAATAGGCTTCTAACTGGTCTTCTCATGTCAGCTCACGTGCCCCCTACAATTATTTCCCAATATTGAACCCAGCGTTAATGCGCTGAAATGTAGCTATGACTATCTCGCATCGGCTTCCCATTTCCTCTCCCCAGACCCATTGGTTGACCTCCTAATATTGGTCATTGGTTTGCGTTTATTCTCCAAGCTCAAGCCATTCTGACCATGCATAATTCCTAGAATATGCTGGTCCTCTCCCAGGGCCACTAGGAGTTTGCATATACACCTCCCTCTGCCCCACTGATCTAGTTGACACCTGATAATCCTTCAGCTCTCAATCACAGTTAAGCCTGCATGGGCCACCCTGCCACCCTGGCACAACCTCCATGTGACTTGTCTTTGTAGGACTTCATAACAGTTGTATTGCTAATTCACAGATTTTTAAAAAGTTGATGTCTGTCCTCTCTATTAGACCACCAGTCTATAAATGTGGATACAATGTCAATTTCTTTTCACTCTTGTGTCTTAGCACTTACCACGATGCACTTACCACGATGCATTATATGATATTCAATAAATATTTGCTGAATGAATGAAATGACCCAAGAAGTTAGTGTGAGACTAAAATCTCGATTTCCTGACTCCAAATCTCATGTTAATTACAACCTGCTGCTCTCAATTTGGTGTACTCAAGTCTGAGTCCCAACACAATGCATTTATTAAGTTCAGAGAAAATCACTCATATTTTTTGAATATTGCTTTTGGCAACACTAATGGTTTATAATATCTAGGTATGGTTACTGTAGTAAAATAATGAAGTCCTCGCACGGGCTTGTTTACTTTGGGACTTGCCACTTATTTCCTGAAATACATCTGTGATCGTTAATTTTATTTGTCAATTTGACTGGTTTAAGGGGTACCCAGATAACTGGTTAAAAATATTTGGGGGGGGGGCAGGCGCCTGGGTGGCTCAGTGGGTTAAGCCTCTGCCTTCGGCTCAGGTCATGATCCCAGAGGCCTGGGATCGAGTCCACATCGGGTTCTCTGCTCAGCGGGGAGCCTGCTTCTCCTCATCTCTCTCTGTCTGTTTCTCTGCCTACTTGTGATCTCTCTCTGTGTCAAATAAATAAATAAAATCTTTAAAAAAAAAATATTTCGGGGGGCATGTCTGTGAAAGTGTTTCTGGAAGAGGTTAACATTTGGCTCCGGGTACTGAGGGAAGAGATCTGCCTTCACCAGTGTAGGCGGGTCTCACACAATCTCTTGGGGGTCCAAATGGAACAAAAAGGTGAAGGAAAGGCTAATTCTCTTTCTTTTTGAGTTGGAACATCCATCTTCTCTTCTTGCACTTGTGAGCTCCCGGTTCCCAGGCCGTCAGACTCCAGGACTTATGGCAGCAGCCCCTTTGTTCAGGCTTGGACTGGGAGACAGACCGCTGCACCCCGAGTCTCGGGCCTTCAGACGCAGACTAAATGATACTACTGGCTCTCCTCGCTCTCCAGCTGGCAGACCCCAGATCATGGGACTTCTTGGCCTCCATAACTGCCTGAGCCAATTCCTATAATACATCTTCTCATGTATTTCTCTGTTGGTTCTGTTTTCCTCTGGAGAGCCTCAAAGCGTACAACCTGCCATTACTCAAAACAGTTCAAAAGCAACTTTTACTATAAATTGCTTTTACACAACATGAGAGTTAATGACTTAGTCACTGCGGTCCGTCCTCATCCCTGCCAGGCAGCCTATGGCCTGCCAGTTTCACTCATGGACAGAGCATTCTAGAAGCCTCACCCAGAGCCATGAGCAAGACTTCAGTGGGCTTGTGCTGGGGAAGCTTCTATGTACTTCAGGAAAAGAAAAGAAAAAAAATGTTAGTAATGGAATATACAAATGCTTTTCTAATCAAGAAGATAATACATCTATGTAATGATTCAGAAAAGTTGGAGAGATGGTCTGAATCAGAATTGGCTGTTCCTGGGAAATCCTTTGCTGTTACTGATAACTACGGATGAAGAAAGGGGGAAAGGGGACAAACTCGTAGGCCCTTTGCAAATTTGCTTGGGTTCTGGATTTAGTCCACTTATTAATCTTGGGAATATTTTCCAAATCACTGGGCTGTGCCTCTGTTCCTGTCCTCAAAACTCCTTCTTTGGGCACAACGATCTGATTTGAAAAGAGGGTGACCAGGTGGCCCTGATGCATGTGGTGGTGACCGTCCACTGCTCTGACCTCCTCTCAGTTCTCTGTGAGTCGGTGCTTCCAGGCGCATTGTTGGATGCTATGGACAATTCTTGAGGGGGAAAAAAACAAAAGAACAATTTTCCCAACTAGTGAAGGATCTTTTGGTCCAAAGGTATGCTATCAACTTCTTTGGAATTTGAAAGGTGTTTTTCTCTTTTTCTTGTGGCCATGACTGAAGGGTGCCTCTGTGCTGAGGCCAGCCTGCAGGAGCTCATGAAAACATAATGGACCCCATCCATGGTACTCTGCAGCCAACCGAGCTCTGTAAACATGTTTCCATTCGAACATATATGGAGTCTCAACTTGAGATGACAAAAATGTGTAACTTTTTGATGGATTGAAATTCATTCATTCATTTATTTAACTGCCAATCACTGACCCAACATTCATAGAGCATTGACTATGTTGCAGGCTCAGTTCTAAGTTCCGGGAATACAAGATTAGCAAGACTATTCCTCCCCCACAAAACTCAGTCTACTGGGAAGCACAACGTCACAAACAAAACATTACAGAATCATTCGACAAGTGTTCTAACCAAGCCTTCTCCCCGAGGTCCAGGCTCATCTATTCATTTCTTGTTTCCATCTCTTCTTGGTGCCCAGGGATAACTCACATTTAACATGCCCAGGACTGAACCCATCATCTTCTCTATGTTCTCTGCTAAGCCTCATCCTCCCCCCTTCCTTCTCCTTCTCTTCCTTCGTGTGTGTTCCTTCTCAATTTGTGAAGCCATCTCCTAGCCAGACCTCCATCCTAGAAACCTGAGAATAATTCTGAACCCCTTCAACTCCTGCTTCCGTCAGTCATCAAGTCCTGTGAATATCATCTCTTAAGGAGTCTTACAGCCCACTCCCTCCTCCTTAACTTGGCTACTGTCTTAACCAGGATGCTGGTAAACTTCTCACCTGGAATCCCAGGCCAGTGCTCTGACCCTCTCAGACATATCCTTCACAGAGTGTGGTTGCCTGGGTTTTCTATTTGGAGAGCTCAGCACAGAGCCTGACCCACAGTAAATACTAAATACTACTGCGACTAATACCAAACATTAACATAGATGAGAAGCACTGACAGGTCAGCTTTCTGGATGGAGAGTGTTTTCTTTGCTTTATGCTAGTCTGGAATGTCAGTATTGTTATCTCAAAGACGACCAAGTCACTGGGCATCTGGCTCGCATACCCTCAATTTAGAAGACATGATAGAATGTGATGTTGGTAAAAACACTGACGTCTGGATCCAGTGCCACTGTTCGATCCTTCTGATCTAACACCTGATGATGTTTTTTCTCCCTTTCCCTTCATTTCATTCGAACGGAAGGCCAATTTTCTAGTTGAATAGTTAGGATTCAGCTTAGCAGAGAGTGACAGAAAACCCCACATAATAGTCTTCTAAAAAGATAGAAACTTTTCTTTCTCAAAATCATATCCAGGTAGGCAGTCTAGACCTGGTGTGCTGCCTGCCCATTCCGCAGAGACCCCAGCTCCTGTTGTCTTTGCGCTCTGCCGTCCTCAACATACGGCTTCTACTTCGTGGCCAGAAGGGCTGCCCTAGCTCCAGCCATCATGCTCACATCAAAGCCAGGAGGGAAACAAAAGATAAAAGCATATCCGTTCTTAGGGGTGCCTGGGTGGCTCATTGGTTAGATGTCTGTCTTCTGCTCAGGTCATGATCTCAGGGTCCTGGGATCGAGCCCTGCGTTGGGCTCCACACTCAGCAGGGAGTCTGCTTCTCCCTCTGGCCCTCCCCCTGCTCATGCTCTGAGAAAGAGAAGGGCATGTCCATTCTTTTAAGGACAGGGAAACCTCAGCAAAGGGAGTCAGCCCGCAAATGGCACAGGTCCTGAGGGGCGTGACCATCACATGGCATCTGCGTGAAGTCAGAAGACGTGCAGAGCTGGTACTCCAGCAGCAGCTGGGCCCAGACAAGAGGCCAAAGTCTGAGACAGAGGAGGCCGAAAGATCTCAAGCATCACCTAAGAGATGTCTGATGCAAAAAACATCTAGCAGTCTCCACCACACTCCACCGAGTTTGGATGACCCTCTCACCGAAAAAGCCAGTGTGGCCCTGGGCACTCAGCGCCTAATCCCGAGATACTCGCACAACTGAGTCAGTAGAAGCAACGATGGCAGTGAGCAAACACCTGCTCCAGGCCGGGGGATCCGCTAAGAGCTTCAGAGGCCCAGTCACTGGATCCTCCCAACAAACGTGGTAGAAGGTTGTACTTCTCCTTCTCCTTCACCTTCTCCTTCCTCTTCTTCCTCCGCTCCTTTTTCTCCTTCTTCTTCTTTTATGTTTTTATTTTATATAATCCAGGAGATCAGGATTTCCCCTCAGGAAACCACCCAGGGCTTACGTGCTGCTGAGCTGCAGGGCATGATAATGAGAAAGTTGCCAAATCAGTGTGGGATTTTAAAAAGATTCTTTGGGGGAAAGTAAACTTCATGATCTTAAAGAACGTGTCAGTATCTGATGGAAAAACCTAATGATTTTTTTCTTCTCCACTGTAGAGTGCCACCCGTCGTTCCTGCCTGGAAACGTGCAGTGCCTTTGGTGGCCAGGTTCTCCTGCAAATGCAGATGGGTGGGGACAGGTCTCCTTGCCAGGCTGGTTCCCTTTTTCATCCTTTTCTCCCAGAGGATCCAGGTGGGACCCTGGCTTTCTTCTAGCATCGCCCTGCATTCCCCAGTTGAGCTTTCTTCTCTCTTCAGCCCTGAAAGCAGGGTCATTGTTTCTCCCCGCCTTCTTCCTCTCTGCGCCAGAAAATGACTCCAAGTGTTTCTGAGGAATTTTACAGCTTTCAAAAGAAGAAAAGCATATACGGGGTTGAAATAACATCACAGAGAAATTTCAAACTTAGAAGCAGCCTTAAGAGTGTGACTGTTCTACCACTTACTCATTTTTCCTGGGAAAATGCAAATGTAACTAGGTCAGACTGTCTAAGGTTCCGTCTTTCTCTGGCCCATCATTTTGGTAAAAACTGGATCCAGACAACCCGGCTGATCTCTCATCTCCTCTCAGGGCTGGCACCTCTGAGATCCGCTTCCTTTGATGCAGAAGGCATCGTTCTTCTCCCCACTGCCCCCAGTCTCCTCCGGATGCCTGCATGGGGAAAAGTACGGATACTGACTAGAGACCTGACGAAGCCTCAAGTCAGATTTATTTAAATTACAAAGAAAACTCAAGACTGCTCCTCTTTACCGTCCTCACGCCATTCTTCACGCCAAAGGTCATGTCAGGCGGTTCTGACAGTAACTTCCCCGTCCAAGTGTCTTTCCTTGGTGGCGGCTTTACTCTCCACCTGTTTTCTTGACTCCAAGGTAACAGCCACCTCCACCTGCAAACATCCAGGCACCGGCTGTAACAGACTTGCATGTAGCCTCTCCGTACCCCTTGTCATCATCTCAATACAGTTTGATAACATCCTGCAATATCTAGCGAATATGCATTATTGATCTTTAAATCACCTTTAATCACAGCCTCTGGGTAGGCTCCTGTAGACCTCACTCACAGCATACTGATCCCCTGGTTGGCTTCAAACAGTACAACTTTTTGTCGGCTTCTTTACCATTTTTCTTCTTGAATACACCCACTGAAAGCTGATCTAACATTGACCCCTGGATGTTGGCCCTGACCGAATTATCTTGAGGCCAAGGGCCCTACTGCCTCACAGGCTATCTGAGGCTAGACCACTCATTGGTGCTAGACCAGCAGGAGCACATCAGTCATTTGTTTAAAGGTCAGAATCATCAAAGAGAGACCAGAAGACTCAGCATTCTGTAGAATTCATGAAAATGAAAAGACCCTAGCACTTAACCTGTGTCTTAGTTTTATCTCTGATATAACACAATTAAAAAACAGGGAACCTATTTTTTAGATTTATCTAAATATAGATTTATCTAAAAATCTATTTACAGGGCACCTGGGTGGCTCAGTTGGTTAAGTGTCTGCCTTAGGCTCGCGTCGTGATCCCAGGGTCCTGGAATCAAGTCCCCTTTCAGGCTTTCTGCTCAGTGGGGAGTCTGCTTCTCCCTCTCCCTCTGCTGCTCCCCTGCTTGTGCTCTCTCTCTCTCTGTCAAATAAATAAATAATTTTTTAAAAAATATCTATTTACAAGAGGGATCTAAACAGGCTGTAGATCCTAGAATAAGTCTTCAGTTTTAACTATTCAGTCTATAAAATTATACTTGATATTTGTAGCTAAGTAATTGTCACTTCTTACCAGGTAACAGTTTCTACTGGACACCTATCATTAAGTGAAAAAGAAATAAGCCAAACACATTACATGAGAAAGAAAGAAGAATTCACCATTTCACAAACTGGGCCTTAAAAATCTTTTAGGGGGGCCTAGGTGGCTCAGACAATTGAGCCTCTGACTTCTGATGTCAGCTCAGGTCTTGATCTCAGGGTCGCGAGTTTGATGCTGGACTCCATGCTGTGTATGATGCCTACTTAAAAAAATAAATCTTACAAAATTTTTATGTGATCATGTATCAGAATCAGAGACTATTTAGAGCAGGTGATTTGTATATTAGCAAAAGAAAAATTATGAGATTGACAAGCATTGTAATGCAATGTTAATGAATGTTAATGCCACTACTCATCTCATAAAAGTGATGCATTGGTTTTTACTTTTCTGAAAAGCTGACTCATATATTTTAAGAAGGATGTCATATTAAAATATTAAGTTCCTTCAAGGAATTTCCTTGTTTCCTTAACAATGAGGGGGGAGAATGGTGTTAAAATGTAAAAGCACTGTAAGATTCAACACCTTGGAGAATATAGTAAGATAAGCTCTCTCATATACTGTTATATATTTCCAGTGAAGATGGAAGTTGGTACAATGTTGCTGAAAGCCAGCTGGACACCTTGTCAGGAGTCCTCAATATAGTCTTACTCTTTAGTCATTAATCCATTTTTAAGAGCTTATACTAAAAAATAAAGAAATGATTTAACACACAACACACACACACACACACACACAGATGTTTACATAGCCAAATACATAATACTGCAAACCTGGGGACAACGTAAATGTCCCTAAACAAGGAAAGTTAAAGAAATTGTGGCATACCCATTACAATGTAATGTTTATTATATAAGAGAAAAAAATTGCATTTTGACAATTACATGTAAAAATGTTTGTAATATAATGCTACATACAAAACATGACATGCAATATAATCCCAATTAAAAGAAATTATTATGTTTATATATATGCATGAAAAATCTGAAAACAAAAATAGCAGCTGTTACTCCTAAGTGGTAAGAAATATACGTAATACTTAAAAAATATTTTCCACATTTTCTGAAGTAACTTTTAATAAGAATCATTAAACCACATTTTGACACCTTAAATATCATTTTAACTTAACAATGTAACTACTGTAAGCGTAGAATTTTGAAATGTTAGGGAAAGCTATGCAAGTCTGGATTGCTAATCGTTTTATTCATAAACAAACTGGGAAGAATAAAAAGAACAGTGTTTAACAAAGCATTATTTTTGTTTTATTGACTTATAATTTCCATGTGATAAACTGCATATGTATAAGGTATAAAATGTGATGAGTTTTGACATATTTATACTCTCACGAAACCATCACCACAATGTGGATAAGGAATGTTAACACTATCATCCCCAAATGTTTCTTTGTGCCTTTTCTCCCTTCCCCCAACTCACGTTCAGGCAACGACTGGAAATTTTGTTGCTATATATTAGTTTGCATCTCCTAGAATTTATGTAAATTTATATAATTTATGTAAATTTATGTAAATAAACTCAGCAGAAACTTTTTTTTTGGCCATGCTTTTTTCACCTTAGAATAATTACTTTGAGATTCATTCATGCCGTTATGTATTTCCCGTATGAACATATCACAATTTGTTTATCCATCCAATTTTGATGGACATTTGAGTTGCTTAAAGTTTTGGCTATTGTAGATAAAGCTGCCATGAACATTTGTACATAAATCTTTGTGTAGAACGTACTTTCGTTTCTCTTGAGTAGAATGGTTGGGACAGGAGTGGAATGGTGGGTCAAATCATAGGAACAACTAATGAGGAAACTGCCAAGTGGGTTTTCATAGTGGTTGGACCCCTTCGCATTTCCATCAGCAGCATGTAAGAATTCTAGTTGCTTCCTATTCTCACTAACACTAGATATTGTCAGTCTTTTTATCTTTTTTTTTTTCTTCAAGATTTTATTTATTTGACAGAGAGAGAGAGCACAAGTAGGCAGAGTGGCAGGCAGAGGGAGAGGGCGATGCAGGCTCTCCACTGGGCAGGGAGCCCAATGCAGGGCTCCATCCCAGGACCCTGGGATGATGACCTGAGCCAAAGGCAGACGCTTAAACGACTGAACCACCCAGGCACCCTGTCAGTCTTTTTAATTGTTGCTACTCTAGTGGTTGTGTAAGAGATCTCATTACAATTTTAATTTGTATTTCTTTAATGGCTCACAATGACCTTTTCATGTGTGGTCATATATCTTTTTTGCTGAAGTGTCTCTTCAATTATTTTGCACATTTTAAAGATTTTTTAAAAATTTTTTATTTATTTGACAGAGAAAGACACAGCGAGTGAGGGAACACGTGCAGAGGGAGTGGGAGAAGGAGAATCAGGCTTTCCGGTAAGCAGGGAGCCCAATGTGGGGCTCGATCCCAGAACCCTGGGATCAGGACCTGAGCCCAAGGCAGCCGCTTAATGACTGAGCCACCCAGGTGCCCCTGTTTTGCACATTTTAAGTAAGGGTTCTCTTCTGACTAGTGAATAAGAGATATTTTTATATTCTACATAAGGTACTTTGTATGATAAAGGTTTTCTGAGGATTTTCTCCCAGTTTGTGTCTTCTTGTTTCACTTTCATGGCAGTCTTTTAAAGAGCAAAAGCTTTTTATTTTGACGAAGTACAACTTACTAATTTGTTTTCTTTTTCACTTCATGCTTTTTGTATTGTTTTTAAGAGCTCTTCAACAAACCAAAGGTCATTAAGACCTTCTCCTATATTTTCTTCCAGAATTATTGTAAGATTAATTTTACACTTAGGTCTGTAATACAGTTCAAGTTAATTTTTGCTTAAGATGTGAAGTAGGTTTGAGGTTCATTTTTGAGGGGTATGGTTATCCAATTATTCCAGTACTATTTATTAAAAAATTTTTCCTTTCTTCATTGAATTACCTTGGCACTTTTGTGGAAAACCAACTGAATCTATTTCTGGACACTCTCTTCTTAAATGTTTATTTTATGCCAATTCCACAAAACTTTGATTACTGTAGATTTATAATAATTTTGAAACCAAATGGTGTATATCTATCAACTTTATTCCTTGTTTTGACCATTCCAGGTAGTTTGCATTTTTATATGAATTTTAGAATCAACTTATGAACTACTGCAGAAGAAAAGAATCCTGATTTTGATTGGGATTTCACTGAATTTAAAGATCAATTTCAGAAGACTTGATATTTTAATACTGATTCTTCTATTTTATGAAAGTACTTCATGTCTCCAATAATTTAAGACTCCCCTAATTTATCGCAGCACCTTTATTTATTTATTTATTTATTTATTTATTTGACACAGAGAGACAGACCATAAGTAGGCAAGAGAGGCAGGCAGAGAAAGACGGGGAAGCAGGCTCCCTGCTGAGCAGAGAGCCCGATGCGGGGCTCGATCCCAGGACCCTGAGATCATGACCTGAGCCGAAGGCAGAGGCTTAACCCAATGAGCCACCCAGGCGCCCCTCATCAATGTTTTATGCTGTTTGACATATAGGTCTTAACATGTCTGGTCAGATTTATCCCTAAATGTTTACTATTTTTGATGCTTTATTAAAGGCATTGATTTTTTTTTAAGATTTCAAGTTGAGATTGTTCTTCACTAGTATATAGAAATATACTTGACTTTTATATATTAATCTTGTATCTATAACATTGCTACACTCAATTATTAATTTTAGCACCTTTTCTTGTCATTCCATAGGATTTTCTATAGGTAACCATATGTTGCCTGCGAATATAAATGGCCTTACTTCTTCTTTTTTGATCTGTGTGCCTTTTATTTATTTTTCCTGCTTTACTGCAAAGCTGAAGATCTCTAGTACTATCTTAAATAGAAGGACTCAGAACAGATATTGTCTTCTCATTCCCTGTGTTAGGGGAAAAGCACTCAGTCTTCACCATCAAGTATGATGATGTTAGCTGGAGGTTGTCCTTTATGAGATTGAGGGAGTTCCTTTCTATCTGTATTTTCCTGAGAGTTTTGTTAGGAATGTTGGATTTTTAAACATTTTGAGCATTATTTAAAGTTTGAGCAATTAATGGGGCATCTGGCTGGTTCAGTT